AGATACATATATATATATATAGAGAGAGATACATTGGTAGATAGACGGATAGACAGGTAGATAGACAAATAGATGGATGGATGGATGGATGGATGGATGGATGGATGGATGGATGGATGGATAGATAGATAGATAAACACATAGATAGATAGAGATAGATAGAGAGATAGATAGATAGATAGATAGCTAGATAGATAAATAGATAGATAGATAGATAGATAGAGCGACAGATAGAGCGATATAGATAGATAGACAGATAGACAGATACATAGATAGATAGATAGATAGATAGATAGATAGATAGATAGACAGATGGATAGGTCGATGGATAGACAGATAGATAGACAGATAGACAGATATATAGATAAATAGGCAGCTAGATAGGAAGACGGACAGACAGTTACAACAAACGCCCTGAAACCGAAACTCTGACAACTTCGGAGTCTTGAGCCTCTGTCAGTTGGCTGCAGACAACCCCAACATCCTCAGCCCCAAACGCTGGGCCTGTAGGTTCATAAGGAGATAGGCATGCGTTTGCTTGCGCGCATGTGTGCATGTCCATACAATGAAAAACACGCACATGGGTGTGGTTTTCAGTTGCAGTTCTCTATTTATTCAAGCGCCTATCTATCTGACCTCCCTGCTTGATTCTCACTCCGCCCCATCTACCTGCCCCCAGTTACAATGCGTTTGCTTTTTTTCTATTCCTTGCATACACAAAACGATTTATGTGCCGAATTCCGCACTTGCATGTAACACGCATGCGATGCACGCAGGCATACATATGCATATACATACCTACTTACATACTTTGACACATTGACTCATACGTCATACGTACATACATACATACATACATACATACATACATACATACATACATACCGACATACAGACATATAATATGCATGCATCCATACATACATACGTACATACATACATACATACAGTATATCTACCTACATAACTACATGCCTGCATACCTAGATACCTACACTGTTACATACCTACAGACCTACAGACATACATGCATACATCATCCTCTGCTTGCATCAGAGAGAGGCACATGTGCTTGTGTTCATAACGATATAGTGAGACAGGCAGACAGACAGGCAGACAGGCAGGCAGGCAGGCAGGTAGACAGACAGACAGATAGATAGATAGGTGGATTGTGGTGTGTGTGCGCATGCTTGTAGAGACTCGAAAGCACGAGGAACATGCACGTATGTCATGACTTCTACATAATGATTTTGTGGACATGGGTTTCGACGTTCACATCGCGCATCTACGAGTGTTATGGATGTGTGGCTTCTGCGTCCCTGCTTCCTGACGTATCAGTGCAGGATCCGAGCTTTCACGTGAGTTTGGAGCCCGGCGTTGCTCCCGCACTGGGTCCCCGGGGCTTCAGGGCTTGGGGGTACGGCTGCTCTGGGATGTTGGTTCGTGTGAGCGCATGCATCTACATTGACTGTACCGAGCCGGACCAAAATCAGAGACGCAGAAGATTTCACTTTATTCCTGCAGAGGCTTCGGTAGCTGATGTCATCTCTCGGAAGGTTGATCATGCGCAGTTCACCTGTGACAAGGTCTCATGTGGCTGAGGACCAGGCAGCACGGCCCAACTCCATAGGTCCACCAGTGAACATGTCCTCAAGAGGCAGACAACTCCACGACATCTGCTTCTGTGGAGCTGATGGCTCTCGATTCCTGGAGATGGGCTGGGACTACTGTCGGGTTCGATGTTTTGCTGTAGCCTGCACTGAAGATCAACGCACTCAAGGTGCCTGCACACAGCCATGCAAGCCCACTCACAAGCTCTGAAGCAGTGAATATCCGTGATGGAACTTACAGTTTCTCTGAAAGACACAATGAGACCGAGACAACCATCCAGATGTCTATATGTCAACGGGCCAAAAACATCCAGAGGATGCTGTTAAGCTCGCGTGAGGAGTTGCAGTGCTAGAATGTGGAGCACTCCGAAATCAACTCAATTGCACGGTGAACTGAAGCCCGTGTTCGCTAAGAAACGCATTAACTCCCCGACTGGCCGATTGACACGTGACCTGCTGACGACAAGTAGCTAACCCTGAACCCCAAAGCCTAATCTTCCAAGAGAGCTCTAGCCCTCCATAAAGCCCAACATGAAAAACAAGCCCGTGTCCTGACGCCAGAAGCCGCGATCCACAGAGCCAGCACCCTTGGCCCGGTAGTCACAGTGCTGGAGAAGGTCCTGTTGCTGAAGGCTTTAGGTTTAGGGTTGAGAGTTGAGGGAGTTTCGGTTTTCGAGAGCTTCGGGTTTAGGGATTCACTAGGAGGACTCTTGACGGACTTCAGGACCGTTAACTATGCGTGACATGCTACAGGCAAGCATCTGAGATAGTTTCCTCCTTCGGCTCTCTTTGACTTAACAACACTTTCCTGCAACACAAACCGACCAGAAAGCTGTCAGAGGCAGGGCAGTTGGGTGTCGTTCTTCGTTCTTCATGCTTCTCCTTTCAGTCCCCTGTATGTCGAGGCTATCGCATGCTGACCACAAATCCTGCACATCGACGCGCACTCCCACCTGAATCCTCTACCCGGGACTTGCTCACAGGACCCGTCCTCGGCCACGGTAGCACTGATCTTGGCTGCCACCATCCTGAAGATTGCTACAAAGGTCTGTAAGACTCTCAGGCATCGGGAGGCAGGGGTGATATGCATGTCAAAGAGAGCCGTCTGGGCGCAAGTTCCTTCCAAACAAGCCCATCGCATGTCGATGGTGCCGCTGGCATGCAACTCCCGCCTATCCAGGAGCTCCTTTCGCTCTGCATCGTTGGCATAGCAAAGCCCCGTAAAGCCGAACCTGAGCTTCAGTCAAAGGCTGGCGAAGAAGACTCGCAGATTCTCCTCCTTACCCTGATATCGTTCATGGCTTTAGGGTCTAGGGATGAGGGGGATGAAGGCTTTTTCAGGTTCGGGGTCAGGGTTTAGGGGCTTGGGGTCAGTTGGAACGCTCTGGGCTGTGCTCTCTCCCCTGTAGCGACTTCAACGTTCCTCGTCCAACTGAGAGATAAAACTAGTATTCCTTCATTGCTCCTATTTTCTTGTAGTATCGTCGTAAAGTATACCCCAAAAACCCTATTCTGACTATCATTGCCCCTCATATGGCGAAGTGTGAGGTTTCTGGAGGCAAACGGCAAACCTTCTTCAACCTCTGAAGCCACTTGCCAAGCAAACAACAGCGGGAGTCAGAAACCTAGTCTTCTGGCTTCAGAAGCTATTTCGACCAGCAAGACAACCGGGGTTAGGAAGATGGTGGTGGTAATGATGCCACTGATTATAAGGGTGATGATGATGAAGACAAGGCAGAAGAAGCACCTGTACCAATGATTATGGGCTTCACCTAAAAACAAGGAAGACGATGAACTCTTGCCAAGCGGGTTTTTGAGGAGGAGGAGGAGGAGACGACGAGCTGAATCAAACTGTCCTGGCAAGGGCAAAACCTTGTCTCGACTGCCAAAGGTGCTGAAAAAAAACACAGAAACGAGAGATCCCAGACTGGGGATGCTGCTCTGCGCCGTACCAGATCTCCGGAATGCCACGCCAAGTGAGGCTCCAAGCCTCAGCCGATCTCCCTGCAACTGCAAGAAAGGAAGAGAAGGGCTGAAAGTTCGAGCCTTGCGAAGCCCGATACTCACCGAAGGTACGGCCACTCCACATCCCAAAACTGTCCCCCGCGCTCTCGCATTCAACAGTATCTAAAGGTCTATCCTAAGGCCACCACCAGCGAGATGACGATGCCTGGGTTGAGGCTCAAGGAGTTGCTTGTCGGGCTGGTGAAGCTGTCGCGGCAGCCGCGGTCAATGCGTGCCAAGTTGCCCAACTAGCAAGTTTCTTTAACTAAGTCTCGCCGCTCCGCTTCCACCAGAATTTGGGTCTCACATGTCATGTCAGTCTTCGCAGCTTCAGAATGGGATCGACAGGCAGGTGTAGGCACAAGTTGATTCAATACTAGAGTTACTAGACTGTACCTACTGTAGAAGCTAGCCCATGCAGCAAGCATCTCAACAGCAGATGCGTACAGGATGCGCCAGGAGTGGAGATCATCATCTCCGGGCGACGTGCTGACCGACAGTAAACGTGGCCTCACATGACTACAGATGCCAAAGGCTGCTGTGCTCCTTTGAGGGCGGTATCTGCAGCTGAAACAACCACCCAGAATGATTCCTGAAGCAGCCACTGGAGCAGCAGTGTTAAAATATGTTGTTAGACATGCCCCTGCAGACCCAGACACACGCCGGCGAACACAAACAGCACACGCATACACATCCATTCATCCATCCATCCATCCATCCATCCGTCCGTCCGTCCGTCCATCCGTCCATCCGTCCATCCGTCCATCCGTCCATCCGTCCATCCGTCCATCCATCCATCCATCAATCCATCCATCCATCCATCACTCATCCATCACTCATCCATCACGGATCCATCACTCATCCATCACTCATCCTTCCATCCATCCACCCACCCATCCCATCCCACAGATACTCGTTCACAGGTGCATGTACATATAAACATACCTGGTACTGCCTCTGCAGACCAATCCCAATGCCTGTCGTGGTATTCCGGCTGGGTCTAAACTAAACTCTGAATGGATGGCCTCCCCGTATGTATGTTAGCATGTGGCACATTCGACAGTACGTCTCTGGACTGTATACTCTTCGCGAATGATACCTCACTCAGCGACGTTTCCTGGTGCCAAGGCTGCTAGTACCTCGAACGGCTTGAGATACTCTGAGGTTAGGACAGCTGATATGATTCTGCTGCTGTCCAGGCTGACCTGTAGTTCAAGCACTGTGCCCACTTCGCCGTTGCGCTGCATTCCGGTGGACCGTTCCGCTGCACCAAAGCGCAACCCGTGCCTGACGTCGGCAACATTGGCGATGTCCCGCTGCACCTGGCGAAGGAAAAGATCGGGCCCTTTTCAAGTTGCCCTCTACACAAAGAGAAGAAGACCTGAGACCCGTGAGACGAAGGGTCCCAAGAAACCCCCTGAAACTGCAGACCTTCCTGGCCTCCTGAGCCTTGAGATAGATCTGGCTTTGGAAGAACTCTGCCGGGGAGATCTTGGAGCTGGTCACCTTTGAGAACAGAAGCCCGCCCGGGGCCTGTTCTGCTTTGCTTGAGGGAGCAGACTCGACATCATGATGATGATTCTTCTGAAACTAGTCTTATTATGCCGGCGACAGCATGGAGATGCGTGACCAGAGACTTCGGAGAGCTGCTTACATGCAGGGAATTCGTGTCTCAATCGCCGAAGGTGATGCTTTGCTCCGGCTGACTGTGTCGAGCTATACGCTTCAGCTGCTTCTGCAAACCGCAACGAGAATACCCATGAGTGAGTACGTACAGAGCAAGAAGCAACTACTCGCAATGGAAAGCCATTCTGGACAGCCGGCTTGGAGCAGAACCGAGCGTAAGTGTGCAACTTCGGCTGTCGGGTACGCTGCCATCAAGCCTGACAACGAGCAAAGACGGCCCTAGTGTTGGCGGCGGTGGGGGTGCTGGTGGCGATGGTGACGCCCCTAAACAGGAGGTGGAAGAGGAGGAGGAGGAGGAGGAGCAGGAGGAAGAGGAGGATGGCAATGACGATAACGATTGCATTTGTTGGGATGGTTCTTGTTGCTGTCTAGTATCACCATCCTCCGTGCACGTTACTATGCTTGGCATTCCTACCCAAGATCATCTCGTTCACTCGTTTGCCAACATTACACGGCCTGTTGCTGTTGATGCTGCTAAAGTCTTGCTTTGCTTTGCAGAGTCGAAATATCCCGAGAAGTCCCACGTCAGAGCCCGGGCCGCCAAGCCGAAATTCTTTGTAAAGTTTCCGGGCTGACCTGGAGTCGCTGGTCGCAACCCGGAGTAGTATGGACATAGCTCCTGGCAGCGCCGGGGATAGTGACGACGTCAGCAAGGATGCTCTCTCTCCCACTCACTCTCTCGAAAGAGCAAGGTACATAGCAAACGCTCGGAGCAGTCGTCGCGAAGCCGGCATTTTTGTCTCTTGGACTTCGGGCTCAGGGCAGGCTACACAGTCACCATACCGAGACGGACAGACGGCATTGAAACGGGGGCACGATCGATGTCTTGTACATTAACGCAGCAACACAGCTTCCCAGAAGTTGAAGATGATGGTGCTAAAAACTCTTCCATGAAACCTAAACCTGACATACATACACCTCTCCCTCATGTACCCGATCCTCAACCACATAAACAAATATGTGTATAGACACATATATATATATATATGTATATATACAAGGACGGTGAGTCCTGAATTGTCTACGCCTGAAACCTGCACCCCAAACCCTAAAGCCATTAGAGATCCAAACGCGAAATTGCGGAACCTCACGGAACCTAAACCCAAAACTCAAAACCCTGAAAACCGTAGAATCTCGACCCACTAATCCCTAAGCCCTAAACCCTCTCCCACATGCTTTGGGGCATGTTTGTTTCGTGTTTCGAGGTCCTCTCTGGCCCGCTTCAACTGATAAGGCCTTCGGCGCAAAGCTACGGCGGCTTGGTTTTTTTTTTGAAAACTCCTTTCCTTCCACAATGCTTACCTTACCCTCCGCTGAGGGCTATAGGTCTAGGCCTTAGGGCAGCCGCTGCTTCTTGGGCAAGGTCGGTGATTCTGAGGCCTCTGGGTTTAAAGATTGACTTACCCTAAACCCTAAACCCTTCTCGGTGTTCAGGCAGAGGGTTCATGGGTATCTCGCAGTGGGCTCGGACCCTTGAAAGACTCCGGGTCTTTCCGAAGGGAGACAGACGAAATAGGGTTCAGGGTTTTTTTTTATGGTTTTAAGTCCCAAAATTACAATAATAAGCCCCTAAATCCCTTGGCATCGGTTTGGGCTTGATCGGTGTTGCAAAAGTTCTCTCGACTTAGGGCTTAGTTCCCTGGAGTAACCCCCCTGTCATGTAGGGTAGGGTTTTTGGGACATGCTGCTTTCTGGGTTTGAGTTTGGGAGAATGTTCCTTCACGCTCCTTTCGGAAATAAAGTGAATGAAAAATAACATACTCACTGACTGGATGAAGGATCAGAGGTTGGGCGAAACTAGTCTTCTTCACGGCTTCATGCTTCGGAATGCGAATTCTGTAAGGGATGTAAGGATGGGGGGATGGCTGCCGTCGCGGCAGACGTGATTGTACTTCTGCCGTTTCTTCCTCTGCCTCTGGTGGTGGCGGTGAAGAAGAAGATGATAATGATCGTCATGGCGGTGATGATGGTAGTGGTCATCATCATCATCATCATCATCACCAGGATCTTCATCATCAGCAGCAGCATCCTCGTCCTTATCATACTCCTGACCTTTGTCTGACTGGGGATGGACAAGCCGTGAGCCTAAACCGTAGCTTAGATCCCAAACAGGTAGATCCCAAAGAGGTGGGCCTGTGGCAGCTGAACTAAACCCCTAAACCCACAAACCCTCTTGCCCCCCCAAACCCGACACCTAAATTTCCACGCCGGTGTGTAAGCTCGGGGCAATCTTTGCGGCGGTGCTCCAGACATCGTGCCCACGTGTTGAAGGCCAAAGGGCCTCCGCTCAGGAGCTGCGAAGGAAGCACGCTGCGAATGGAGTCGGCATGTTCGGATTCTTGCCATGAGGTGCTACTGCGTGAGAGCATGAAGGCTAGCTGGCTGTGGTGCAGGAGGAGATAAGTACAAGGGTAGAAGCCTAGCGCCACTCCCCAATCCTCTCTTCAGCCCAAGCTGCTGGTCGCTGAGATCAACTTCCCCGATCATGAAGAACTGCTCTTTCCCCAGTTTGGTTGCATACCGCCTCAGGAAGTCATGGACGCAGTTTGCTCGATGCTTCGCACTTCCACAGTCTGCTTGCCTTGCCATTTGCTTACACCTTTGGAGCAGACATGTCATCCCTACCGGCCTGAGATGTGTTGACAGATAGGCCGTGAAGTCTGCGGACATGAAACCCACAGAGGACCTCAGCAGCTGAAGGCTTGGGTTAGGGTTTTGGGTCTAGGGGTTAGGGGTTCATTTCAGGGCTCTATGTAGCAGTCTACATGAACAGCCTTTCATGATGGTGGATCACAGTGCGGCCTCCCATATCAGAAAGTTGTAAGGAAGGCTCTCTTCACAACGCAAACAAGTGGCACAACTGTGGCAAAGCACGGGTAGAAGTATCGCACTGTTCACATCGCGTTCAATAAATGCTTGGTTCGTGGAGGTTTAACCGAGCAGTTCGGATCCACTTCCAGACGGTTTAGGTTTAGATCTACAAGCGGACAGCTGAGCTGAGATGTTTTCTTGCATTTAGATCTCAACGTCCGGACTTCCCGTCATCTGGATCTGCACTGGTACTTCTCATCTTTAAAGAAATTTCTGCAAAGGCAGGCCTTCGCAGCCTCATAAGCCGTGCCCGTGCCAACGTTTTCGGGGTGTAAGCTGTACCGTGTCATATCTCAGGCCAGGACAAGCGGAGCCCATCGATGTCGGCATAAGCGATCCAATACTTCAGCAAGTTTGTAGAGACCTGGCACGTACAGCGGAGATGCTGCAAGCAAACAGTCTGGACGCAAGCGAATCGACCGCCTGTTGGAAAGCTGGGTTCATAGTGTCCTGACGCACAGAGCAAGGATGCGGGATGGTGGAGCGATTGCAGATCGACAGGTTTGCGTACCTCTCCAAGGGAAGCTCAGGCCCGGGCAAACTCGATGAGTTCGTCGCCCAAGAAGTCCGTCCAGAGGACCCCAGCCTCCCAAGCTGAAACTCTTCGAGGCTGCTTTCCTTTGGACCGGATACGGGTGTTCCTCAAAGGGGGTGGGGGGGGGTTCTGAAACTCCACTACAAACGAGGTCTTAGGTCTTCACTGTTGAGGCTTCAGGCTTGGAAGCCCCTGTACTTCGGAGCCGTCAGCGAAAGCCGTCCTGTCTCCCCCCTTTCTCTCATGGCTTGGCTTTGAGACCACGATGCTCAACGCGAGTTTACTCAGGCTGCGATGCAGCATGAAATGATTCCAGCACGGCAAGATCAGCTTGCTCGGAGAGAGAAGTTTGGTGTGACACATGTGCGAGGCTATAGTCTCTATGGCCTCGAGAAGAACGTGTCGCAAGCTAAGCAAGTTTGCATGGTAAGCTGCACCTTTGTCGTGCCCCTACAACCCAAGTTTATAGAAGAACGTCTTCTTGCAAGTTCATCAAGCAACCTTGCATCTTTGACAACACGGTGCATCGAAAACACCGATGCAAAGGAGCTCTGCAGTCAAACCACGCGCCACTTGGTGGCTTCAGCGTGGGAGGCCCGCAAATTTCGAAAGCCCACATCCCATGCAAAGCAATTTCATTCTCCAACTATGCCGAAGGTGCGACATACTTACATAATTACATACCTACAGTCATGCATCCATGCATGCATACATACATACGGACAGGCATACATGTCGTACAGAAACCGTGCGTGCATGTGTGTAGTCTTGCATCGTAGGTATCTGCAAATGCGTGGGTGTGGGAGTGCTCAAGAGAAGCTCTCAGGCAAGGGTACAAGGCTGCTGAGGCACCAGGCTTTCTCAGGCCAGCTGCCCTCTGTTCCCCAAGTTCGTCATTCCAGGAGCCATGGTTCCCACCCTTGCACCATAGCCGGCCATGGTCTGTGCAGGAGATGCACCTAGCAACAGGGCCAGTCAAGTCAGTCAAACCGACAAGCAAACGAGCATCAGCCTTGTTGGCTGACACGTGTAGGCGAGGCGCCCAGAGGCTTCTTCCCAGCGGTCCCACCCGGACTCCCCATGCTCCCCGGACTGCCAACGGACATGCCAGGAGATTGCCTGAGAGCACTGTGGTCAGCTTGTCTTCTCGGCAAGACTATTGCAATTACTGCAAGCTGTGACTGCAATTCCTGCTGGCAGGGGGCGGGTTGTTCGCACGAGGTGGCGTGTAGGGTGCGAACCCGGTCGATTTCACAGGCGCTGCTGGTGAGGGCACGACTGGTGCCTTGCAAATGGAAGCGAGTGCAGACTGCTAGGCTATGCTAGGCTCACTTCTCCCAGCCAATGAAGCACTCCACCTTCGTGTATCCGACGACGGGCACGTTAAGGACCTTCATGATGTTGTCCAGCTCCGCCTCGCATAGACACTGCATCCGCTGCTTTCTACCCAAACCGACAAATTTCGACACGCATCACTTGGAGGTTCATGGGTAGTTATAAGTGGGGTTATAAGTCCCCTAATATGGGTTATAAGTATAGTTACCCTACTTATAACCCCACTTATAACTACCCATGAACCTCCAAGCAACTCTACGCAGCGCAGCAGACTTGATGATTCTTACCCTGCCTGAACAGCCGCCGCCTGATTCTGGAGCTGGGCGGACGTCATCAAGTGACCTCGGAAACGCAGACCTAGACCTTCTCGTTGTTTCTGGAGACTCTCAAACAGTCACGAAAAGTCGGGGGATGTTTTTCTGCGGAGTTGCTGGTCACTTGAACCAAGAAGGCAAGAAGCTCTCTACCATCTGTCGGTGATCCTGGTGAACTGCTCCATGTCCAGCATTCACATCCTGGCTACCAAAGGTGCAGGACTAGAACTTGAGGCAGCCTCCCACGTTTCGCCGGAAGAAAAATTAGGGCACTTCTGGAGCCCATCCTACGAAGGAAAACAAGCATGCTTACAGGGAAACACCTGGACTTCGGTGGTTTGGAGCACCCTCTTTCACAGACAGCAGTACCCACAAAGACCATGCGCTGACATACCGTCCTACTAAAGGTCTCTGGTGGAAGTCGAATCTCAAGACATGGCTTAGCACCTTGTGCGTGTTCATGATAACGTCCATGATCTGGTTCATCTGTTCGCGCAGCGGTTCCTTGGGATGAAAAAAGAGTTACCTTCATGCCAGCCCCCGCCCACCAGCCGAGGAACATGGGCATCATGTTTTTGGCCAAGTTCTGATGACTTCCTTGGCTGTCACAGGCTGGACTGAATATCACAGCCGGCCCAGCTTGCCAAGCAGCCCTATTAGAACAGACGTATTTTCCGCTATGTTCTCCAGCATGTTGTGATACTGCTTTTCCTCGGCCGTAGCTGGCAGGCAAACTCAACTAAAGCTTGGCAGTCGCCGGCGAACGACTTATGAGAAATGCGACGACCGTCCCGCCTTTCCCAACTGAAAGGCCAGCAGGTCGGCGCAGCGGGCCAACTCCCCACGATACATCAAGATGTCCTTCTGTGCCGTGGATGTGCGCTGAGTTGGTGCGAGACAGCAACTCGCGCTTTACTGGGCGCTGCCGAAATCCGATCGCCCCAGGCCGGGCGAGCGAAATTCTGCAAACTTCCGCGGTCTACGAGGCTACACAGACCACAGCCCCGGCCCTGGGCCCTGTCCTCCGACATCTCCCGCACCTCGCGCTCAAACTCCAGGCAGACTGTCTCACAAACCTGGGCCGGTTCTGCCGCAGCAGGGTTCATAACCAGATCTCGCCAGGAAGCATCAGCCATGAACTTGCGGAAGGCGTTGGCGCGAGGTGCGACGTGGTCCATGGCCTCCTTTCGGGATGAGACAAAGCTGCCGGTGGGCATTGCTTTCGCCTTCTTCAGCCCTTAGCATCGTGGAAGCGGGCCTGGGTCACGGCAGCCATGACAGCAAAGGACAGCGGGAGCTAGGAGATCAGCTGAGAGACTGAGCACAAATGCCTCGCCTTACACGTCTACAAGCCAGAGAACGTATTCCTCTGTTGGCCAATCTTGTAGGCACTGAGGCTGACCCACCAACTTCTCGCGACCGGAAAGGCACAGGCCTCGTACTCCTCACTGTCATGGGGCTCACTGGAGAAGTCGTGGTTGTTCGGACGGTCCCTTGCAGACACGGCACTAACAGCGGATGGCAGACACTTTGAGATCCTGTCATGGTTGCGATTATAGTGCGCCGTGCTAATATTCATACTGCAGCCAACGGAATTGGTACTTCAACAGACGCCTTTAGCACTCGAAAGCCGTAGGGGCCCCGACATCCTCTTGGGTCCGCATCGGGCGAAGAACTCCTTGGAGGCTTCAAGGCTGCCAGGTGCCGTGGTCCGTGAAAGTCAGAATGGCAGCCAAAGACCGTCGTAGAAGAAAGCGCGTAACACACTGCTACCAGTTCCCGTGCGTTGCACGGACGTGGGAATACTCCATGAGGCTTTGCTCGCTGCGCCCTATCCCCACTGCACGCGCGCTTCTTAATAGCCCCGGTCAGCGCTCGGGGATGCTTTCGCAGCAGCTTGCTAGCCGGTGCGACTCATCGTGCTTTGCAGGCCAGGATCCCAAAACCCGCGAAACATCACAACACGCCACAACCACCCAGTGAACAGTTTGTCGAGGACTGAAGGAAGTCCGTGCGCTCAACTCAGTCCTCTGAAGCTAACACCTCTAACTTACTCTAATCATCAAGTCCCAGGCACCCTAAAGACCTTACTGGAACCCCAAGTCAAGTCCTTTGGTCCTTAAATAATGTCAAACTTGACCCCTCCTGGTGGTGCAGATGCCGAGGAAGCACGCCGAAGCTCAGGGAGCGCTGGTGCCTGCGACTCTTCACGGGTGACCTACGTGGGTTCAGCCAGGGGGCAGGACGGCACAGGGGTTTAGGAGTTTAGGGTTTAGGGTTTAGGGTTTTAGGGTTTAGGGGAGTCTGTCGGAATGTCGGGATTAGACACATGGCACACGGAAATCAGACTGAGAGTCGGATCGTCTCCAAAGCTCCAGCGTTCTGGTCTGGTAGGGGCACAGCGGGCATTGCTCTCGTCTACTTCGTTTTGGATGCGTGCGGCCGTGCTTGGGCACCGGGCGACCGCTTTGGCTGGCCACCGCTGGTGTTGCGATAGACCTGGCTAGCAGGGGCACATTAGACACTAGCCTCCACACGCCCCGCATCAGGCTTGGCTGTGGTCTATGTTACGCGAGGGGCCAGTCAACCATGTGTGGCATGGTACTGCAAAGGAGAACAGCTCCAATACCCTCCTGCAACAGTCGGCCTCCTCGAAAGAAGCCACACAGTTGCTGACCTGCGAGACCGGATCCATGTGGACTGACCTGTGCAGGACTTCGGTCGTCGGGAGTTTGGAACGAGGGGCGTTCAACCCAAAGACCTTGTAGGCATCCACCCACAAAAGGAGGGCAGTCGAGGATGATATGAGACCCATCACCATCCTATGCTCATCCTCAGTCCTACGTCCCGCTACTGCACGCCTGTACGCCAGACCAGTAGCCACTGCATGGTTCACCTGCACATCCAACCTCAGCCCAAGTCGCACACATCGAGTCATGGACACACTTTGAAACCGTCCGGTTCTTGGATCCCTGCACCACACGAAGGCCCAGCTGGTGGGCCTCCAAAACGAAGAGAGCGCGCGCTTCTTTCACGCTTCGACCTCACGGAGAGCCGGAGCCCAGCCTCGGCCACCAGCGTCTGCAGCAGCTTCGCGTCGCCTCGGTCTTCTGTTGCACCCGGGAAAAAGCATATCAGGAGCCGAAGGCAAAGGCCGCTAATTAGGGCCCCTAAGCCTAGAAGGCCTAGGCCGAGAAGTGGCCAGCACTTCTGGGGCCCTTGCCAAAGCCGGGATCGATCTTGGAGAGATCTGAGATTGAGTAGCCGTGGTACCTGTCGCTTTTTCGCTATCGCTTTTGCTGTCCGTATGGCAGAGTACTCACACCGAGTGATTTCTGCCCTTTTCACACATTCTCAAGTGCGTGAAGGCCACTCCCCCCCGGAGTTCAGGAAGACTGGCGACCTCGGCTACATTTTTGACTTTTGCTTGTGTGCTTTTCCTTGCGAAGCTGGCGAAGTGCGAAGTCTCCCCCAAAAACACCACGCCGCTAGGTACTTATACCACGCAAAGGAGCCCAAAGCATTGGGTGATACAGCCGAGCAGCCCTTCACCATACTCTGCCAGCCCAACCGGAACCATCCTCTTGAATCGAAGCACCCTCTCGACGCTGGGGCCAGCACAGGGCAACCACCGTGGCACCCAGGTGCTTCATGTAGCTCAGCCTGCAGGTTGCACGAACCGCCCCCCCCCCACCCCCCCACCATCAGGTCGACGATGACCACGACGATTAAGGCAACTACCTCCTCTCCTACTGATTCTGCTACTTCTAGGCTGCTACTGCCACTGCGACTGCGACTGCGACTAGCCACTAAGACGGCGGCTAAGACTGCCACAAACAGCACAACACGACGACGACGACGACGACGACGACGACGACGACGACGACGACCATCACCGCTACGACTATCGCTACCACCACCACCACCACCACCACCACCACCACCACCGACGACACGACTGCGACGATGACGAGACGAGGACTACGACGACGACTATGAGTACTACGATTGTCGCTTCGTGCATCGTAGCTACTGCAGCTACTGAGAACGCAGCTATGTCTACCTTAACTCTCTGTTCAGGGGAGCTGAGCCCAAGCGGGTGCACCTTCCAAGTATTCCGAGCAAGTCTCCACCTGAAAAGCAGGTTCATAAGCAGAATTTGTTGTAGGAGATGAAATGCAGCATGAGTTTGCGAAGAGACCGGCAGTGTTGAAAGCAGTGGCGCTGGGACGACGACACTCGAAGATCAAGAAACTACAAAGATTACAGCCACGACTGGCCACGACTGCGCAAAGTGCACAGTTTCCACATGCTTCATCCATAAGGCACAAGCCATTGCAATGTCTCAGCCACGTGCCATGCCGCCACTGGTGGAGATTCCACGGCTCCCCTGACTTCAGATCCTTGCATCGAGTTTCGCTGAAGATGCGGCCAGGCGCTGCATGCTTGCTACTCCCTACGTCGTGGTGTTCCTGCTGTGGAGATGGATGTATGGCTCAGAGGCTTTGTCACTCTCCCTGTCCTGCTTCTGATAGTGCGGGATGTTGTGGAGGTCGTTCGTTATATCTCCATTCGCAAACCTGTCTACCATGACGCTGTAGACCACCTGCACCAGGACTCTGATAAACAGCGTGGAAGGCGACTGCGCCCTTCGAGGACGTGTTGCACAGAAAGAAGGACAGCGATCTTCGTGCAGTCCGTGACGGCCACGGAGCCTCGCTGTTCCAGTCCTCCGGCGATGGCATTCGGCGCAATCCTGCTTCCCCAAACCTGGGAGGGCTGCTGGTTGCTCCTACAACTCCTGCTGCTCCCAAGCGACTCCGATTCCTGGTCCTACTCCTGCTCCTCCTGCTGCTCCTGCTGACTCCCGCTGCTCCTTCTGCGGCTGCTGCGGCTGCTGCTGCCGCTGCCAGTTCCAAGTTCCAGTGCGATTACTACTCAATGGCACTCACACCTTTTTACTGGCACGTGTACTGGGAAGGAGAGCAAGTCTGCCGTCGTCGGAGGTCCATTCGCAGGCCCATCGCTGCGAAGGCTCAGCTGTACAGTGGCGATACAAGCCTTTCCCATTGATTGCACTTCGACGACCAGTCTGACTGCAATGGCTAATGGAATAACAACGTGCGAAAAGAACAAGAACAAGCACAACAACAAGAACAGGAACAGGAACCAGACAAATAAAAGAAGAACACGAATAATATTGCTCCGCATGAAGAGTCAGAACCATCTGCAGAGACCGTGGCAATGTAGGAACAGTAGGAAGTTCATGTGGAAAGGCCTGCAGAGGCCACGGCCCCGGACCAGCGGGCTGCTCAGAGACCCGGTTGCTTCTCTGCACACGGCCACGTAGGCTCCGGTCGCAGCTCCGATGGCATTTGACAAGGAGTTGCTGTTGACTTCGCTTCACCATGTCGATTGGAGTTGCTGCCGCTGACTAAAACAGTTGTAATTGTGGGGAGCACCCAAAAAACCGAAAAGCGCCGCATATCGCGGGGCAGACTTGGCTCTTGGACTGCAAAGAGCCTCCGCGAATGCTTCCGAATGGTGGAAACTACGTTGAGGCTACGTCGGAGGCTTGCCGTCACTCCCCAACCAAAAAGAGGCCGGGAGATGTTGCTCGAAGCCGGGCTTGCTGCGAAGCCTGGGCTCTCAAAGGGACGGAGGGACGGAGGCTACTCTTTCAGATGAGGCTCAGGCCTCAACTCGCGCTCTGACTGAGTCCCAAAGTGAGGAAACCTACAAGCATCGATCAAATCCTCGGTGTTCCGAGAAACTCGAAGCAGCGCAGCAACCGGCTGCTGATGAATGGTGGAGGCCTCACGAGCCGACTGCGCGTAGTCCAACCCTAGCTACTTCAGCGAGGAAATCCCTCCTCACTGCACGTCAGGGGGCTGGAAATGGTCACAATTTTATAGACTCTACGTTGATGACACCGTGCGAATACGACATGTTGCATTCGAGTAGCCATGATCAACGCCGAACGCTCTACATTCTCGATGGGGTTCATGTTGTCTTGGATCACGGTCTCTGTCACCTTGGCTAGGCGACATACTGCTGATGATAGAAATCCTGCATTACCTTAAGGGCCCTAAACTATGGGAATTATGGTATAGTCCTTATTATGGGTAATGCAGGATTTGCATCATCAACCGTAGTACGAAACCCCGGCGAGTGCAAATTCCTTCTGGACGGCTCGGGGCCTGCAAGGTGAGGAATGCGATCAAACAGACATGACATGCCAACTACTTTAAAGCCAAAATAGCATCACTAGCCAACAGCATGATTTGACCCGTCTCGTACTCATACGGATACCTGCCATATGTCCGCGCAACACCATTCGCAGTCCACAAGGACCAGTAGTAAGGCTTGTGCTAATTTCTGCTGCTCATACCCCTCTTATAACTCTTGTTCGTCCCCCTCCTCCTACTTGGTTCGTCTTGGTCGTCGCCGTTGTCGTTGTCGCCTGCTACTGCTGCTGTTTCTACTACTACCACAACGACTACGATTACACACCGTCTCCGCCACAACCACCACTCCTTCTGCTGCTCATACTCCTACTCCTACTCCT